CAGTTAACTCGGTCCTGTGCTTGCTGCTGCCAATTTATACCCGTAAACTTCTTAATCTCATCTGCCCACCTAACCTTCTGTCTCCCCCCAACCTTAACAGCCAATATAGTCCTTCATAAAAGAAACGCTATAAAGCTTTAATAGGAATAATATAAAGCAGGAAGATACAATTACAATCTTTCCACTGTTATGCACTGTATTAGTCATCAAAGCACTCGGCTGCTAACTCGGTCACAGAACCGAATCCCGGCCCCGGCGGCCACACCTACGATGGTGGCGAAAATCCTGGAGGGGCCCACGTGATTTGATTTAGGAAACATTAAAAAAACCAGGTTGTCGCAACTTCTGGGGCCATCTTCTACGGCATCCATGAAGATTATAACACAGCTTTATGACGTTGAAACCCAATGATTTTTTTACTTTTAAGCTAGCTAGCTGTATGAAATCACTGGTGCAATTGAGTGTTCGAAAGGAACCATCGTCAAGAAAAATATATAAAGCCTGTATACTTACATGTGATTACGGGTAAAAGCACATAGAGGAGCGAAATTTCCGGAGAATTTTACCATGTCTTTTCTCGTATTCTTATCATTATCTGGGGACGTTAAAACCCCCTCCAGTTTTAATTACTTGGCCAGAGTTCTCGTGGGTAGGTTTGCCCAGACAAAGCAGAGACGACCCGCCTCCGTCAGTGAAATGGCGGCCGCACTTTTTTTTGTGGCCACAACGAAGCACCGAGGTCAAAAAAGGTTTATTTTAACGTTATCGTAATCAGTGAATCAACAGAAAACCGAATTCCACTACAATTACATGTTCATCTTGGCACGTCTGACCAAAGCTGTCGATCAGTATTGGGCAGCTTTCACTCGCCTAAAGTAGTGGTGTGCATTTCCTATTTCAAGCGAAGCTCCGGTTTCATACCTACGGGAGATCCTGTCTCGTCTTGGAAATTTCGTCGGGACTTCGATAGGTGTCGGCTGCTTTTGTCAGGCTGAAGTGCGTGCGCCGTTGCTCTGTCTGCTCGAAAGCATTTGTGTGCGCAAGCCTAGATTCGACGCCATTTCGGGCAGCGCATGTCTTACGCCATGGTCAACATGGAAAAGTGCATCATTCCATGTACACCGCTTTTGTGAGCTTCGCCGCTTAACGTGCGAGTTGTCTCGGAATCGCACTTCTCATTAGCCCAACAAGTGTTAAACTGCGCAGCACAGTGGAACGACAGATGAGCACTCGTCTGTCTCGTTTTGTTCCTTTCATCTCACAGCTGCTGCGCAGTTATCTAGAAGATAAATCTAGATAGTGGAAAAGAAATTAACCAACAGAAGAAATAGATATTCAGGTGCTTGTGGAAGTGTTGTTTGAGTTCTGATAACGTGATTCTTTCCTGGAGGTGAGGAGGCGTGCACAGGTTTAAGTTAGCACGTTCGGCAGGGGCGTAGCAAGAAATCTTTTTCCCGGGGGGGGGGGGGGGGGCAGAGGCAGAAGGAGGTTAAACCCTCCTTGGGTACGCCACTGAGGGTGTGAACTCTAGGAGTTACCCCAGTTCTCTGTGCCACAGGATTTACGTACATCACTACATCTAACGACGAGGGTGGCAGTCCCAGTATTTTAAAAGGAATCGCAAGTACCTACACCTTGATTAAGGCACACCGTAGTTAATCCTAACTTTTACGAAGTTTTCCCGTTCAGTTTGCGTCATGGTCATAAAGGATTTCGTGGCAAGCTGTTCTTTTTTTCTAAAAGTGCCTGTTATGTCTTGCTCTCTGATATGAAAGTATTATGGTTAAGCGGAAGGCTATGTCTTAATTTTAGGTTTATTTCTTTCTATATATCTGCGTCACTCTCGGAATAGCTGTATTATCCTGCTATATGATCAGGTTGGGTTGCTTCTGTATGTATGCTTTGTTTCTCTTTTCTTTTACCTTGGCTGCCTTACAGCTCCTATGGTCATTGTGAAGTGAAAACTGTGTGGTTTCTCATCTTAATGGACACTGATGTCTCTGTATACTGTAAATAAATAAATAAATAGATAAAATACTTTGTGATCACTCGACAAAACCCAGATGCTATTTTTGTTTCCAACCAGCCCCGCTGGTATACCAATGCAAGATGAAATAAAACAAGCGGTTACCTGAATAGAAATCTTGGCATATCACACAGTTTACATCCTGCTAATTCTGTTCAAGGAGCTCTTGGATTTATTATATGTATGTTCGTGTGAGCGCATTCTTAAGTGCCCGTCTCAATAATTCCGTACACTACTTATAAGTTTGAAACGTTCTTTGTTTCTTTGTTTTTGTATTGCTGAAAGACTCGTACTATGCTGTTCATTTTATATTGCCTTTAGGCTTGTAGTATTGGAGAATAGCATAGCATAGCACTTCAGCAGGTCATATTGAATATTAAGTTTGTGATTTCAATTAAGTGATATCAAAATAATAATGCATATGTATAGTACAGGGTTTTCTCTAGATAATTTTTTAAAAGACGATTTTACAGTTGAGTAAATAACTTGACCCTATCTATGGTTGAGCTCTATAGGCTCTCTATAAAAAAACTTTACAAGTGGTTACTTGGAAATGTGTCTACAATAAGCTTGGATTGGTTATTTCTCTCCACTTGGTTGTTTTTTCTGTTCCCATAGTATATAATTTATGGTTAATTGTACTTTCAGGTCATCAAGACATAATGAAAGTCAAGCTGGGATCTCAACAACCATGCCATCAAACCCTTGATGATGAAAGGCCTCACAGGCAGATTTCGGCTGTCCATCGGCGCCTCTTCGTCAGACTGTCACTCTCAGTGCGCTCTTTTCTCTCTACCTAGGGATCTTTTATTCTGCCCATCTGTCTTTCTGAATTTCTCACTATCTGCATTTGTCTGTTCATTCGTCTTCCTGCATCTCATGTTCGTCTACCTCATTGTCTGTTCATGTTTCTCTGTACGCCTTTATCTTGCCCGCCAGTCCGTCTCTTCGTACGTGGAATTTCTGTGCATCTGTCTATTTCTGTCTCTGTAAGTCTCTCCATTATTGTCTTTATCCAATGTTTTCACTGTCCATCTGTATGCATGCATATATGACTCTATCCTTCGGTATATTATGGTGGGTCTCTGTGTTTCTCCATCCGTTCAACCGTCTTTGCATCCATCCGGCATTCTGCCTGTCTTTTAGGGTGAAGCTCCTTACGCCATGGATCGTTTCCTCTTCTATAGTGGTAGTATGTAGCCACCTCCAATTTGAGTCGCTCGTTAGACGGTTTGGTATAAATGCTTAGTAATTATATAACTAGATGGCGTTAGTGGATTTCACGGCATATCTGTGGAGTGAATGATGAGTGGGGCGAAACATTTGCGCGTCCAACTGTCCGTCCGCCCCTTCGTACGCCCGTCCGTGCGTCCGTCCGCCCGCCCGTCCGTGCGTTCATCCGGTCGTTCGCTGTGCATCTGTGCATCCGCTGTGCGTCCGTCTGCTTCGCCTTACTCGTCATCATTCACATCATGAATATGCAGTGATTTTTTTGGCCCTGCTGACTGCGTGACTTGATCGACTGGCTGATAGTGACACTGACCCACTTGACTGGCTCTTATTGACTGACACAATGTCTGGTATAGCCCATATCACCATTGCCTAAGACGATGCCAGGAGCTGGAAACTCATGTAGTGATGTGTTAGTACTAAGCTGCTGCTTGACTTGCGAGGGCTCGCTCTTTAGGATGTGTGTCTTTCTTAATCTTCCTCCCTGTCTCTCTATGTTTTTGTTGGTCTTTCCGTCAGTCAGTCTTGTTTTCGTCTATCTGTCCATTCATTCATTTGTCTGCATGTCTGTCTTTTCTCCATCCATATGCTGTTCAAATTTCTGTCTGCCCATTCATATGTGCACATGTGTCTCTCCATCCACACATTCGTTCGACCATCGGTGTACGTGTGACGATCCTTCTATACGTGTATCCACATGTCTGTTTGTTTCTTTCTGCCTGAATGCGCACTTAACATTCTTTCTTCAATAGTTCTCCGTGTGTTGTTCCAGCCAGTCTTTTTCTCTGTGCATCTGTACATCTCTATTTCTGTCTGTTTGTTCGCTTGTCTGCCTGTCTCCCTTTATGCCTTTCAATGCATCTCTCAGTATGTTAATTACCTGTGTATCTGCCTATCTGTTAGTTGTCTTTGTCTCTGTGACCGTCTTCTAGTCTGTTCTTCTCCATGTCCATCTGCTTGCGTCGACGCCTCTATGCGGTCCGTCAGTCCATTGCCCCGTAGGTGAGCTTTTTGTATTTATCTGTCTGTTCACTTGTCTGTCTCTCTCTCTCTTCGTCCGTTCCTTTTCCCGTACATCTGCTTGTGTCTGTGCGTCTATCTGCCTGTCCGTCCGTCTGTCCTTATGAGTTTTTTTGTGTATTAATGAGTCTGTATGTCTTTCTGTCGGTCTCTTCGCCCGTTCTTTTCACTGTCTATCTTCTTGAGTCTGTGCCTCTATCCTGCCTGTTTGTCCGTCTGTCTGTATGTGGGTTTTCTGCATATCTATCCATCGGTTCACTTGTCTGTCCTTAAGTAAGTCTGTCTGTCCATCTCTTTGTCCGTTCTTATCACCACCTGTCGGTCTGGGTCTGTGCCTCTATCTTTTTTTTTCGCGTCTCTGTGTATTCCATTGGTCCGTTCGAACGTCTTTGTATCCATTCTTCGTTCTCTGTGTGGCTGTCTGTCTGTTTATACACAAAAAAACACACACGCACGCAAACACACGTAAAGACACACACACCCGCACGCTTCGAAAAAGCAAGTTTTTTTATACAGCTTCAAAGTGAAGTCATAGTTGAGAACCAAGCTGGGTCATGAGACCCATAACGTATGAAGTTGCTAACTAGTGTCAAGGGAGTTGTCTATATATAAAGCTCTCTGTATAATGCTCACGTTTCAATTGCATTCATGATAACAGAAACCGTGGAAGGAGAAGCCTCACCATTGATGTGCGCGGTGTCTAAACGTAAGGTGTGCCGCCATAAGAAAAAGCAGCTGCAGCCGTCCCAGCAGCGGTGTGCCACCAGCAAGTCTGTTGCGGCACGGGTGACACGGGTGGTCGACGGTTGCAGCGGCACTAAAGCAGTACCGTCGAGCCACGCCAACTAGTGTAGATTTTCGGGCCAGTTGGTCTATGTGCATGGTGACGAAATTTAGAGTGCGTTTACGTTGACAGAGAAGAGGGCTACGCTCTTTATGCTCCCGTTCGTTTTACCGTTTTTCTCCATGCGTTTCCCCATGTCTCTGCATCTGCATGTATGTAGAGCCGGTGCTTCTCTTACGGAGAGCAGAGTGCAGAGCTTTTTTTAGTTTTCCACAGCGAATACTCCTTAAATGTCGCCTCATGAACCTAGGTCACCTAGCCCAACCATATACACTCCCTGGTGTGGCTTGGAACAATCGTCGCTCGATGGCTAGAACCTGCTTCCGTGCTGACGCTTTTTGGCCCTGCTGACTGCGTGACTTGCTCGACTGGCTGGTAGTGACAAACACTCACGCGACTGGCTCACACAATCACTGGTACAGCACAGATCACCGCGGCCAAAGTAGATGCCAGGGCCTGGAAGCTTGTGTATTGTCCTGTTAATAATAGGCTTGTGCTTGACTAGCAAGAGCTCACGTGTTGTGCTGTACATCTCTCTTGATCATTCTCTGTCTGTGCTTTTGTTGCTGTTTTTGTCAGTCTTTCACTCTTGTCTATCTGCGCGTCCATTCAGCTGTTGGTATGTCTTTTTCTGTTCTTCAGTCCACTTGTCTATATGTATGTCTGCCCGTTCATCTGTGCACATGTCTCTCCGTTCACATGTCGTTCCACCATCTTTGTATAAGTGACGCTTCATCCATACGTCTGTCTGCATTTCTGTTCGTATGTCTGCTTTCTGCCTCTCTCTGCATCTAGTAATTGTTCTGTTTATATTGTCCATCTAATGTCGCAGTCTTTCTGTCGGTCCATCTGTACAGCTTTGTCTCTTGTACATATATCTCTCTGTGGTTCTTGACGTCTGTAAGTTACTGACTCTATACATCACGACGTCTCTCTGTGTTCATCTTTCTGTCTGTGTCTTTTAAATTCAGTCGACTTGTTGGTCCCTCAAGACAATTCTGTCGGTGTGTCCACAATGCTCTTTTTTCCTGTCAATTTGTCACTGAATGCCGGACAAACAAAAGCACACTGAAGAGGCCATAATTACCTCTCTCTGCCTCGGACTCACATTCGGTCGTGCATTTTGCAAATTAGATGGCCAATCATTGTCTGATTATTGCCCAACAAGACGACTCAACAACACAGCTCCTCTGATCATCATCAAGCGTATCAAGATGCCCAAGAACCGAAGCACAGAAAGGAAATTGCATTTGAACACCGAGTGCACAGACGATAACACATTTGTAAGGTAGGTATTCATTTAAGCTTTCTTGGCTTCTTCAAATATCTTTTGCGCGTCAAGAGGTTTAAATGAGTTAAACATCAATCTTTTCTGGGCATCATGATTACAAATTTACGAATTACTTGCTACGTGCACTGAGAAAGTTGGTGCTCGTATGTTTTTATCAGCATTAACCACAGCTTGACACTATATCCCAACTACGACTATTCGTTACTGGAAAACTCTATCAGTGAATTGTGAAGAAAACTATGTGTAAAGATGAGTTGCATGCATACCTCAAGTGCAGTATGCACACAAGAACCAATGAAATATACGTGCTTAGTTGAGCTTATGAAAACAGCATGCCGTCATAGCTACGAAAAAATTGTTATACTGCGCTATGTAGAAAGATCATCCAGATAACACATCGCTGTCTTCAAAAGTCGGTATACTTAACTGACACAAATCATGTACCTTAGTATGTAGTATTTCATTGAACGCTGTACGTAGGCCATGGGCTAGAAAGCTGTCTTGGCTCAACAGATCACTGCGTATGATTGTTAAATTCGAGAACTACCTCTGTTCGCTAGGTTTTTTTTTTTAATTACTGTGTTGTAATAGGCATGCACAGTAACTTACAGAACCCACACCATGGTACGTCATAGCAGCTTTGCCTGTCAAGAAGACATGACATTGTCTCCATTACTGCTAAAGCTTCTGTTTTGCTGAATGAGGATCAAATCAAATAAATGCTGTTAGTAGGACGGTACCTTTGAATCCTGAACCTGTGAAGCTTCAGAGCATGCCTTAATAACTGCTGTGTATGCAGGCCCGCATATCTTTGTGTTTATTAAGTCATGTGAAGGGCTACAGTGATGCATCTGTGTTCTGCTCTATGTTGCTGCAAGAGTCACTGTTATCCTTTAAGACTGCTGCAGATCCTTTGTTTTACACTGATTTATTATGGCAAACATTCATTTAATTTGATTACAGAGCGAAAAATTCATTGCTATCACATGTGCCTAATTTCGGGCAGCCAGGCCAGGTTAGCTTCCGCATGCTGGAAGGAACTTTCGCACCCAAGGAGGCTCTTCCATGTGTAACGACAAGTTCACTGACTGCCGTTTCTAAAGACTTGATGGCTGTATGAGTAGATTCACCTTTGTGCCCTCTAGTTTAAATGAAGGCAGCAAAGAATTGGTGCAAGTGACATTTTGGATGGACTTTTTGATACCAGACCCATCTAACAGCCACCGAGAAAATGTAAGCTATTTACCCATTTGATAGCATTACTTGTTTTAGTCAAGTGTTCACTATGTTCCTTATAATCGACAACATTCTTTTCAGAGGCTCGCGATTCTCATTACACGGAAAAAGAAATATACAGTGTCAGATACAGTGAACATATCACTCAAACGCATTGAGATTTTTCTACTACGTTTCGTTTCGATCCAACCTCTGAGTAAATGACAAGAGATAATGTTGCACTCTTCTCTTGGTCAGTTCCTGCATGTTAAGTGTACAATCTCAATACTCGAATCCCTATCTCAGGAATAAAGATTACTTGGCTGAATCAGAAGAACCGATCTCATGCGCTGTGGAAGTGAACTTCATGAGAAGCAGCTGTAGCAGATCTGCATCGAAACTTTAGTTTTGTGTGAATTGTTACAAGTAGGATTGATGTCTTCTGAATAATTGAGGTTTTGTTCTAAAGGCTTTTGTTCCGCCAATACCGATTGTCCAAGGCCCTACCTTAACACCACGAAAAACAGCGGATTGCGGCAAAAGAAAATGAAAAGCCTGTGTTACCCCAATACAACAAAAAACTGACAAGAAGTGTGTGGTAAATATAAACTAGGCAGAAAAATATTGCCTGCAGCTAGGTAATGTTGGCTAGTGGTGCCTATATGCTGTTACAACAGCAACGCTGACTTCATTTGTTCTCAATCAAGTAAAAGTTGCCCATCTATTTTTCTTGCGAAAGCCTTAAGTCTATCTTTTAATGGTCCCTAAAGCTATACATGGCAGAAGATCGAGATGGGACGAGATCCCACTCGGCCTACTTCACCTTCAACTTCATGTTCTGGAGCGGCATCATAATCACGTGACAAATCAGAGCCATACACGGTGACCTCATTATGGCGTCGCGACAGGTATCGCCCTATGTGGCATGGTGAATGGTAACAAGTATCGTACTCAGTTCAACCCAGAGGAAGTGCACACAGCCTCAATTGGGAGAAGAAAAATGATGCAGTAAATTGGGTATTTCAAGGTATTACGATGAGTCTTTCAACCGACAGTTGGATATGCGTTTCAAGCAGTCTGGTCTCCGTGTACAAGTTAAGAAGCTGCTAAATACGCAGCACTTTCACTACTTGCAGAGTATACAGGGTTTAACAGACTGCCGAAATTTTTCTTTGTACAGTCTTCGAGTCCCCGAATGACTTGACCACAGTCGGGTTATCGGCATAACGGAGCTGGCTACAATACGAACCACCAGAGAAGAAATCTGGCACTCTTCGTGACTACACAGTGAAGATATGACACAGGAAAGGGCCTTGTGACGCTGATTCACCGGTGGTGTCGAGAATCGAACGTTTAACAGTTGGTTGGACTTCGAAACTACGGAAGGAGCGCCTTATTGCGTTCAGGTGAAGGCAAACTCGTTGTGCGGATATCAAGTCATTAGTGGTCGTCAAGCCACGGCAGAGGTCATGACGCCCTTCCTTCAAAAGAAAGTGGTGAAAGAAACTTCAAAGTAAATGCTAATTATGCCCAGCTTAGCGTACTTTTCTCATAGATCGCTCTAAGTAATTCATTAACCATCAAAATGAATACTAAAGGTTCAATGAAATAAAAACAATAAAAGAGTATACTCTCCCAATCTGTATTTGTCTTTTTATTTTTTTATTGTTTAATTTGTTGAACTCGTTCTTGCTACTTTGTGTGCTATTTTTGGTCTAATTTCTGCTGAATTTTGATAATCCATCTTTATACAATTTATAACTCTTAGGCGTTCGTGCTGTAACAAGCATATTTTGTTTGTTTTGACGAGGAGGTTTCATTGCAGTCCTACCTCAAGATCGCCTGCCATTTGCTATCAATATGTAATTTTTGTAGTAATTACAAAATAAATTCTAATTGATTGACCTGAGTTGGATCATTCATTTTGCTCTTTACGAGTGCGCGTAGACCAGTCATGCGAGGAAAACGCCTACGCTCCGAAGGCGTATTAGCACGTCGTTAACTTGGCTATGGAGGCGAATCCGGATTGCTATACCAATGCACTCCCCTATCAACCTGTGACTTAACAGACCTCGCACGGTAAAAGGAGACCCAGATAATAATTGAAGCCCTTCTGCCGGTCGAAGGCACATGGAGCACGCATGTCTATCTACTATATAGATACCGTCTATATATATATATACAAATATCTATATATCTGTGCATCTGTTTTTCAGCGACACGGCGGGTTTTTTAAAACAACGAAGGCGTAAAGTATTAAAATTTGTTTATTAAGGAATGTAACGCAGGCACTAAATGCCAGTCAAATTTCTTGACACACAGACAGAGCAGTGCGTAAGACTTTTCTGCCAAAAGAACTTTGGCAGGCGTCCTGTCGCAGAAATATATATTGTGGTTCTAGTGTTGATTATAACCACCTCAACAAAATGCGATAAACATTACCGCTTACTTGCTCCTACAATCGAGCAAGCTATATGCAAAAGCGCTGCTTGATCTTGCAGGAGTGTGCCAACGACCACTGCTGATAATACACACTAGAGTACTGCATGGGCTCGGGCCTACTGCCCGGCACGGGCCAGGTCGGGCTTAGTAAAGCAGTTTTCGTAGTGATCCCGGGCCGGGCTTGGACTTGAAGATCCAAGCTGCACGGTTAGGCTCGGGTTTGAGGTGGTGGGCTCGGGTTGGACCGGACTTAGACTTTGCTTAGTTCTTTAAATTGTTCCGGATAACTTGTGCAACAACACATGCTATCGAATTCATACATTGCACCTAAAAAAAGATGTTTTTTTTTTTGCTTTGCGAGAGCTCACGGCCATCGCTGCTTTTTCACTCGCAACCAAAAACACCACTGCCATTGATACCACTGAAGCCGAGGTGCGAAGTTCTAAAATAAGCTCTTTAACGCTATCGCATTACAAGTACAAGCAGCGTGCGTCTTTACATTAGGTCTGTGTTTGTTTGCTATCACGATGCAAAATGCCACTTGAAAACATGTACCAGTAAAAACATGCGGGTTGTGCGCAACGTAGTCTAAGTAATATCGATAACAAATACAAAGGTCCTTTTACACATCAGCATTCTACTTATAGGAAAACACATAGGCGAACGAACAGCTTTTAGATGATTTGCACCTATATGACACTTAAGGTAACAAAAGTGTTGCCAGTGACGACTGCAGATATAACACTAGCAGAAAGCACTGAAGATATACGTGGTAAAAAACTATGACAATAAATGAAAGAAAGAAGCTTAAATTTAAGAGCTCAATTTTGTGTTAGAAACGATATTAGCAACTAACCGACAAAGGTTGTCCGTTAGTTTTGAATAATATGACAATAATCGAGAATGGTAGGATATCCGTAAAGAACTACGGGACGATATCATTGCGCTACCGATGGGAAAGGTAGACAAACGTCTCTGCCTTCCCTGTCGTTCTGCACCGAGTGCTAAAGGCCCGAATTTCCCGGCATGTGGGATTCAATTGCCTGATCACCCCACATCGCCTTTGTCTCGGTAAATAACCCCGGGGAAAATATTCTAACTGGGAACAACTGGGACCAGTTCAAATGTCTATGGTCAAACTCCCAGTGAGGACCAGTTGCCAGCTGGTTCCAACTGGTCCCTAATTAGAATTGCACCATAAACCACTTGAACTGGTCCCAATTGCTTCCAATTTCCAGTGGACTCCTGCGGTGCATATAGACGAGGAAGCTTGACATTGAAGCTTGGTTTCATTTATTTGAAACTTTGCAGGTTGAGTGTGCAGGGGCTGTGAAGCATCTTGATTGCTTTCTTGGATAGGTGGCAGGCGTCCCCTGATTTGTTCTCGTGCATACGGAACCATTTGAACGAAATATTTACACTGTTAGCGAAACTCAAACTGCTAATTTACACATGCATTACTACCAGAAATTGAATTTCAGCTTATTAGAAAATTGTGAAGCCGATATTGCTATCAACCAAAACACAAGTACTTTAGTCGCAATTACGGACGGCTTCTTTGAGGAGAAACTGTGGCTGTTGATTCATACCTCTTAATACGTCACTATATCGATGACTATATTATCCTGAGTTGCTTTTATGCAGCAATCATAAGTGAAGTTCTGCTCAATTGTGCCTTTCAACGTGCGATTGCAGTTATCTACAAATCTTTGTACCATACAGTCAACAACGTTTGTGAATAAATTTGCACACCTTTATTGTACGTATTAGTAAAAAACACAGATACACCACAGTATAACTTACAGCCTTGCATTGCAATTAACCCAATTTACTCGTGTCACGTATAATTCGAAATTCTCATAAATGTCACTGTACATTAACACTATCTGTATAAAGATTACGTCTTGGTCGACTCCGATTGTTAAATCGTCGAGCTTTTCTCCACGGTAAAAAAAAAGGGGGGTAGGGGGGGGGGGGGGGGGGCCTAGGACAGAGTTATGTTTGGGGCAAGCAAAGGATGGCCAGTCGGTGGGCGGCGCCTGACGAAAAGGAAGGATAATAAAAAGTAACTGCACAGCCGCACTAAGCCCTTCGCCTCTGCACGCACCTTTGTTGCCGAACCCCGTGAGTTTTTCTTGACCGCATCTGTGCTGGTGAGTCACCCGCACGGCGGAAGCGTTCTCAGGGTAAGCCAGACTAAGAAAAGGGTGGTCCCTGTCGCGAGATTGCTCCCGACATGGATGATGTGGCACCGTGCTGTCACAATACGTGTGGATAGACGGCATCAACGAGTGTACTCACTCCAGACAGCCGACACGCTGTCTAGATAGCTTGTTGTCACCCGAAAGTGTCTTTTAAGCTGTACGTCGATGAAACGATAAAGTTTTTTAGCTGATTCTTGGAGGGTAAGCTTGGCAAAATGTGGGAACGCAGAAGCGGAGACCCGTCTCTGAGGAAAGGAGAGTTTGTTGCATAGGTGAAGCCTCGAGTAGGGGTCCGTCCCCCGACACGCTCTCCTATAAAACGGGAGATATTGAATCAAGAGAAATGGAGAGAAGGGGAGCTGGCTGCTCGAGAATGAGATCGGGAAGCACGGACAAAGGTCGTGCTTAGCGCCGACTCTGATCCAAGGCTGATACTACAACGAGAAGTTGGTGTCGAGGTGTAGAGTATACGAAAGACTCGGCAAGTAACGCCGTTCTTATAACAGCCCAGTGCTCAGTGTGCGGTCGGTTTAGTGGCCGCCCCAGCCTTTGCTTGTAAATGTCAGTGTGTAAATAAACTGAAGTTGCTAGGAAGTGAGCAACCGAGCCTGTCCAGTCCTTTAGCGTGTCGCCGTGGCCATCTGAAGCATCGGTATTTCATCCTTCATCGCAATCTTAACTGACAGTAAAGCCAAAGCTCACACAGACAACAGGTTTGGAGATGTTTAATTACCGAGCAAACGCGTGCCCTTTTCTAGTACTTTGAATAGAGCTACAAGCCTGCACGAGTATACTGCCCCGCCGCGGTGGTCTAGTGGCTAAGGGTACTCGGCTGCTGACCCGCAGGTCGCGGGTTCAAATCCTGGCTGCGGCGGCTGCATTTCCAATGGAGGCGGAAATGTCGAGGCCGTGTGCTCAGATTTGCGTGCACGTTAAAGAACCCAGGTGGTCAAAATTTCCGGAGCCCTCCACTACGGCGTCCTCTCATAATCATATGGTGGTTTTTGGATGTTAAACCCACAAATCAATCAATCATCACGAGTATACTTCATAGTTAATTAGTATGATGTTGAACACATTGTATTGCGCCATCGACCCTCATATTTACCATGCTTGAAAACAAATAACCGTGAATCTGCAGAGTCTAAAACATGCTTTAAGGCCGTTCACATGACACAAAAAAGTAGCGATTCATTCCATCATCTCCACGCTCAAAACACTCTGTTGCGCTATATCTAACATCTTCACTTACTCGAAGCAGATGCTTAATTACTTTGAAACGGCTTCATTGGGATAAGGCAGCTAGCGCCGAATTTCGAACACGACCACATTACCATCTTGTCACAGGCTAGCACACTCGTTCGACGATCGCCTGAAGTGGTAATGTCTTACCTCGAGAAAACTGTCGTGCACAAATAAAATACTTAAGTTGTGCTTGCCGTGACTCCTCGTTCTTCGTCAAGAACAGCACACCTGCGCCACACATCTGCACCGCGGTAGCTAGCCCTCGCCACTTGTGCTCTACGAAACTGCTCGTCACCTGCGTTATTTTCTGCCTGTGTGCCTCTTTCAGCGAAATTTTGGAATTATGCGCTTTAATAAGTTATTTTAGTCTATTGATATTAGGTCTGATTCACTTTACTGTTTTGTTCAGTATATGAGTGTAAGATTAGATACGAAGCTACATTGATGGTTGCCGGCCATTCAGGTAGAACTTGAAAGAGGAAGCGGAAGAGTGGTAGAAGTTTCGGGTAACACACCATTTGTGGTGGTGTACGACGCACGTTATCGTGAAGTTTGCAGCATTTTAGGATATCGGCAGTCCGGGTGTGGTAGCGACAAGCTCGGCACTGCGTTAGTTTTTTTTTTTGTTGTTGTTGTTGTTCGGAAGTAATGCGCCTGTGCAGCACACAAGGCTGTCAAGCGGGCATGTCGCTGCGAGATAATTCGGTAGTATTACAGCCTGGCGTCAATTGGGACCACTTTGCCTGCGTA